TAATATAATTTAATATGATTATAGTAATTGATTTTCTTCATGGCTCAAAAAAACTCGTTAGCAGGTCAACCACACACATGGCTTCTTTTAAAACATAATATATTATACATTATAAATATGTACATCACGCAATAATGTTTACTATATTATATTATATTATCACCTACCTATGCCAAACCTAACTAAACCCAACCGCAGGATAATATATTATATAACACACAGGGTGCCCCTGCCCCTTGCCCCCCTGTCTAAATCTTAAGACTTACCCAACTGTTTTAGTGAAAAATATTTACATAAATCAGCTACCCACCTAATTGGTTTTTATAAAAACACGAAATAAAATATTTAAATTTTTTCATTACAAGCTTAAGTAGTGAACCAAAAACTACTATCACTAAGAATTACATAATACGCATGTCTTCTTGTATGTGGTCTACCAACAAATTATTAGAAGTCGTAAGTATGCGTTCTACTATAATATGTATTTTTTAATTAGTACCTAAGTATAGTTTTGTTTAATATATATAAACCCAATTGAGTTAAAAAATAATATCTATAATATTAATTATACATTTACTTTCTTGATTACTATCAATTATTTCATTGCTCACTTGCCGATTTCATACATCGTTAAAATATACATATTTAAATCTATATTTTTTGTCTTTAATAAGTAATGTAGTATGTACCTATGATATATTTTATATTAAAATAGTCATGAATAATGACATTACTTGGTTATCATTAAGCCGAGTATGACTTAGGTATACTTTCAGTATTCTTTTTCATTTTTAAATTTCTTTTGTAGGGAATCCATAAAGTTAGTAACAGATTCATAACAGTTGAATAATATATTCCGTCATCCCGGAGTAAACTGAACAGTCGAGTGAACACAGGTACATAAAAACAAATACTTAAGTTAATTTTTTTTTGATAAACTTGTATTTTAAGAGAATATTATGATAATTGTACTGTACTATTAATAATTACAATCTAGGGATTCGGGATACTAGCATTTAAATTCACCTACGATTTGTGCCAATTTAATAATAGGATAAGCTCGACTGAAGGTCACAAGTCGTAGGTGTTTCGACAATTTATTGGAGTCTATCGAAAACCGGATTAAACAAAAGATTCTCATTTTTTTATTCATTATTTTACATTGTAACTTAGAATCAATATATTAAAATTGTACTGTATAATTTGATCTTTGAACGTACCATCTAAACCCATTATTAAGGATGGAAAGCTTTTAAATTCTTACAGTGGCGACCGACTAACTACGCTAAACATGTATAGGTTGTGTGTGTGTGTGAGAGCGTAATAATAATAATTAATAACAACTGTTGTTTTGGGTAATTGTAAAATATGTTTCACACGACTGATGGCGGCCGGCTCGCACCCCTTCGCCTCGGCGCCGTTATCTCGCTGCCGCTTGCATGTGTAATATTAGTATTATTATCATCATCAAAACGGGACGGCGCGCCCGCCGACCATAATTCATCACGACATAAGTCGGCGGCTCGTGGACGATAAAAAATTATAGTCGTGGCAATAATTATCTCGACTGTGTGCGTACACACGGCAGATATTAGCGTATCCGGCGACGGACTGCATTTTATAAAATGATTGATATAGAGGGACAGTCTGATAACGAGTGAGAGACAGAATTGCGAGAGATGATACTATGTACATTATATTGCCCGCGTGGCAGTCATATTGTATATTGGACGGTTCTATTTTCGGTCGCCGTTCAATTAGCCGCGCTTTTGCCTCCGGGGAGGATCGTGGGGGGGAGCCATCTGCAAGTCCTCCCCGGCGACGCAACGGTCCTATCCGAGATTTATGGACCCGACGCGCTCGCGCCGTCTCTAAAATTGTCCTTTTGTTCATTATCGCGAGCGCGGGGGCGTAACGCGAGCACGATTTATGGACGCGACTGTTTTTCGGACGCGCGCACCTCTCTCGCTCCACTCATTTTATCACGGTGACCGCTCGTGTAGGTATATAATATGCCATTACATCATATAGTTGTGTTGAATGTGGAGGGTAACGAGACCGGCTATATACCACATAACAGATACCATAGCGCGGGTGCAGGCTGTGTGTGTGCGCTTGTGTTTTCGGTTGGCCGGCCGGACGCGAGCAAGGGCTGAAATTAGGGGGGATGGGGAGGCAAGTGCGCGGAAAGTAAACAAGTTTCAATTATCGTAATTACGATGAGGTCTCTCTCGTGGTATTGCAGTGCGGCGAGTGTGTTATTGATTGATGTGTAAAAAGCACACACACACCCACACGGATCGCCGCCTTTAACCGCCGTCACGTGACGTAGTTCGACTCGCCCGTAGAGGGTCGTCGTCGTCTTCGTCGAGCCCAATAACGAAAACATCTGTGATGCCTCACCACGACATATCGTCTTATCTATATTACTATTGCAGTCGTAGTCTCTGTGCACGCAGGCTCTGTTTGGAGGTTACGCCGCTATCGCTATGATATTATAATATATTGTCCTCAAGAGTTCAGAGAACGCCACACACGCATGACGTGTTGCCTCTGTCTTACGAACGTACACGACATGATATCAAATTTGTGTTCAGCAGTTCCAATTTCATGTGGCAATAGCTTTAACAATATAGAGTGACTCATTATTAAACTTAAAGGTATAGGTAAGAAAATCATCTGTGCTTTATCGTGGGTGTTTTACTATGTTTTAAAAAATATTATACAGATTAAAATCTCATAGCTCGCTTAAAAATAATTAAAAAAACGTCTACAACCCGCTTGATAGAACACGAATAATATTCTTACCTCTAAGTTTTGTAAATGGACAATTTAGTCTATTATAAATCCTTAATACACAAAATTGGATAATATGCTGGACACAAATTTGTCACGGTATACGACTGTTGTAAGACCGAGACAACACAAGCAGTTGGGGCGTCTTCTTATAGTCCTTGTATCCGAAACCATACATTTCGTAGGACGATAAGCGATTTATCGTTCATTTTTCCTATTTTGTGCAGGGAAATAATAAGGCTTCTATAATAGAGTAAATTTACATATTGGGGCACGGTGGTTGGCTGTAGTCGCTAATGTGTAGTACGCTCAATCGTTCCTACAGAATTTTTAAATCTATTTCTAAATACTTTTCAAAATATTCTAGAAATACTAAATCGAAATCTGAATAATTTATAATCTATACATATATAAATGACAAATACCACTCATCTGCTCAATCGTTGATCAGTACATCTTAGAAAAAAGAAAACGTACGAACTTGAAATTTGGAATAGTGTTTCTTCTACAGTCTACTGTCTACAGTGGTGGTCAAGGTTGGGGAATATGTCTGTTATTTTAACATGCACGATAATTCAATAATTTGATTAGTAAAAATATTCTGAGCGGAGCGATAAATGTATTGATTTTACATTGATGTATTTTATTATTTTTGTGTCAGGAAAATGTGGAGATTATTTTGAGTTAGAAATTCATAATAATTTTTCGTTTTAATTTTAATACAAAATTTCTCATAAGTTTATATACCTTTATCAAAAAAAAAAAAAAAATGTCATTGGATATTCACTCAATTTCTCATGTAGCCTTTAAAGCTAAGAATTGAAAATTTAAAACAAGGTTCCACGTAAATATGTTATAATATATAAATTAGTTTCTTTACAATAATATAATTGAAATATATGCTTAGTAATATCATACGCTGACTGACCGTATTTGCTCAGAATTGTTTTTCTTATACAATGATATTATATCATTCAATTCAAATTTCTCACCATCCATTACAGCAGTGGAGTGTAACATAGGATCCAAGTGTTGCACGCCTTAAACATGGGTGGGTGGTTATTGATAGAAGAAAATTAGGAAATTTTATAAGACGGTATAATAATATTATATATGAGGTGTAGGTCACCTAAAATTATTTGAGCAACACCAATTTTTTTTTTTTGATACACGCCACTGCATTACAGTGACCCACTTGTAGCCAACTATACGGTGGAGAGACACCCACTTGCCCATCTTTTGTAATTTTGAAGAAAATTCCTGTTGAAGCGTTTTTACTGCATCAAACAGGGATTACAGACACACACACACACACACAAAACAAACATCACCGTAAAATCAATACATTCATCGCGCACCACTCAGAATCTAAAAAAAGTAGTATTGCTCTATAGTTTAATACAATTTTCTGGAGAACGTATACGAAATAAGAAAGCTTTTAAAATTATTATTTATTTAATTTTTTTAGTTTTGGGAAAGTATAAAAAAAAGTTAAGCCCCTTACGGTCAAAAACTTCAAATACTATCTATAAAAAAACTTTATTTTTATATTTTTTTACAAATATTATTCCTTTATAACGTATTTTCCACTATTCGTGTTTTAAATTCTGTATGAAACTTACTTGGAATATGCGTAGGTACCTATATTATATAATATAGTATAATATATATACACTGTCAATATGGCTGTAATGGATAATGGATGCAATAATGACGTGAACATCTCCACACGGTTTTTCTCCTTAAATTTTCACCATTACCAATTAATGACTATGCATTATATACGATCGACTCTGATGCGTATAATGGTTGAATATAGAACTTTCAAAACTGAAAATAACTGTTCCCATTATAGAAATACGCAACAAAAACCAAATTTATTACTAACAAGATATTTGTTCAACAATATTTACGTAATATTGACCATTGTTTCTGAACGGAATTTGAGACAACTGAGAATCTATAACAATTATCCAATAAATAATTTACAGTAAAAAGGGTGGAGGGGGTGGTTATTTTAAAAACACAAGTTTTTATCACCTGCACAGGACATGCCTTAAGCAGTACAAAAGATCTCATTACCTCAAGAATAGGAAAATTATATTATTATTTTGCGTTACACTTTCAGTCTGCACAGCCGTGAACGGCTGTTGTGGATCTGGTATAATTTCAATGATCAATTTCCGAAAACCTGTCATATTATCCTATGGTATCGTGATGTTTTCAAGAGACTTTTCTTCCATTCCATCGATTTTGATGTGCCATGGGAAATGCACCTGCAGGACGAAGTTCAATGATCTTTGTATGGCCGCCGCACATAAAGCTTTGGCCAATACGTCTGAGAACATAAGTTTACCAAACTTCACGCGATTATTACGTCGTTTTGCTACCAGCTGCAGGACAGGTTTTATTTTCGGCGTTACAATCTCAGTCTGCATAGCCGTGGATGGACCTTGTGAGTTTTCACCACTCAATTGATGGATGTCTGTTTTATTACCTTCCATCATACTCATTTTCGTCGGAGCCATATTCGGTTTTCTTGGCATAGCCGAAGATTATACAGCATTGGCCATCATTTCTAGGAATTTGAGTTGAGACCTTGTAACTCCTCTTCATGTCAACCCTGTTTTGCCAAATTTCCGGTGGGTTATTCGCCTGGAGCACATCCGATATCATATTATTTCCCTCTCCGTCGTCAGCCTTGTCGTACGATCCTAAAGTCACAGTAATATTGCCTAGTTGACTATCCATTCTGATTTGAAAATCAAACGACTAATTATTTATTAAATTTTTTATTTTTATTTTTTTTTTATATGACTTATTTGTATTTTGAACATAATAACAAAAAATAAATACAGTTAAAATAAACGAAAACTTTATTATAGGTAAGTAGATTTGTTTAGATCCAGCACAATAACCTTACGAGGAACCTTGTATTACATTTTAAAATCATGGGTACCTGACACCTGTAATTGCTAACAGCTCTTTCCAAATTATTTAGTTTTTTGTGTATTAACATTCTCAGTAGGTACCTAATACCTAAATATATAATTTTTTTTAATGACTACATTATTTTAAAAATATTTCTAGTGACATTAATATTTTTTTATTTAGAAAAATGAGCGATTACCATTAAGAAAATCACTATATTATAATCACCTTAAACGAACATTATTTATTTAAAACGAACCGTTTTCTCCACGCGCGTCGTCATCGTGGCGACGGATACAAATATATATACATATTTTATGTACCTCACATTTACGCAATATTATTACCATGGTGATAACAATAATAATTATTGTGAAATCCCGAAACTTGTTTGTTTTTTTATGACATGGTCGGAAGAATAATAATAATAATAATAATAATAATATAATAACAAGAGAGACACGTCGAGTTAAGTACCCATACCAGATTTTACATAAACGTCATCACCATCGCCTCCGCGTGTTACGTATTGAATCGTGTTGGGTCCTTAATTATAAATTATCATAGGTTGCACTGGAAACGTTTTAAACAAGTCTAAATTCCATAATAATAATATTATTTTAATGAACTATAGTGGTTTTATTTTTTTCCGAATGAAATATTTTATCCGTTTATCGAATTCGTGAGTCGTAAACGCTGTCCGACGCTTAAAGTATTAGCTAATAATATTGTGGCTCCTAAATGAGTGTAGGTATTATAATATTATTACCTACCTATGTAGTATTTTCAGTGTGAAATCGTGAGGTGGTCCCCTGCAAGGCTCAAGAGTTGTAAATGTAGTACACGCGAAATTATTAAAATATTCTCAGTCAAATGACAGAAAGAATTATTATAAAAATATTAATTGTAAGTTCAGTAAGTATAACAATATTGACAAATTTTCTCCCGACATTCCACTGCTGCAGGTTTACATTGTTATCGCAAAAATAAAAACAGAATCGGTTCGAAATTTAATTAGGCTGATTACTCTAATTATTAGAATTATAACTCCGGTGAACGGAATTATAAAATGTTTTAATTGTTTTCAATATATTGGTCCCAAGGACGGGAATCGTCATAGTGATTTATTTGAACGGACGCCTTTACTGTTTATTTTATTCTCTCGTCGTTTATTATTTTATATAAGTTATCACACTGCAGAGTAACAATATTATATGTATAATATATATTATGTATAGGTATTTAGGTTATACCTACCTAAGGTTGTTTAAGACTTAATTTATTCGGATTAAAAAAAAACATGTCAACGCGTGTGAATTATAATATTATTTATTCACGCTACTCCTTAAATACCTACCACTAAATACTTGTGTATACCTCTTTATGACGCATCCACTTGGTTCCTGTTTAAAATAATCACTAAAAATTGGAAAATCTGTTTTTATTCGAGATTAATATCAATTTCTAAATATTATTAATAATAACCATTGTACCTCGTTTTATTAATGACCTCATAATATTACACAGTGTTAGGTTTATGCAATTTATATTAGTTTCACTCGGGTGACTTTTTAATTATAATTATATTAAATTTAATTTATGGGACATTTTAATTAATACATAAATAATACAATTTATATTGTAAAGGTGGGTGGCGTTTTAACGAATACCGAACAACACTTGCGTAAGTAATATTAATCCCGACATATCGGTCGTCTTTACATCGATAAATCGAATAAAACTATTTTAAAATTGTTAGTACTTAAGTATATTTATTAAATACGTCAAGAAAAAGTTTAACAAGAAAGAGCCGGACAAGGTTCAGTGACCGAAATTGGGGCGCTAGTCTCATTGCTCTCGCACTCCACCCTCAGCTCCGAATGAAAGGCGTACCTATCCATAGTAATTATAAAATCATGTCAAAACCAAAAAGATCGTGGGCAGTATACTGCTATACTATAATATAGTATAGTGGTTAATACTTAGTGTACGGAAGTTCTAAGTATACTTATTGTAGCTTATTTCAAGTGCTTACTTTTCATGTTTCCAACATTTTTCACTATTCTGCTGTTATTTCCCCATACACGATATTACTACCATTTTCAGATATCTCGAATTATATGTAGGCACTGGAAAAATCAAAAACCTCTCTTAAAGTGTTTGCAACTAGTGAACTATAATATGACATTTCCAATCGATTGTGTTGGCTACTCGAAACTTTTGAAGCATTTTAAATGTCCATAAAAGTTTTTACAGAAAATAAGATCAATGCCGAGCCAACTGTCATTTTATTCAGAATCTCAGATACATTAAATTTTATTTAAAACTACATAAAAACATTTTTATTGACACTGAAGTTTATATTTTATTATACTTATAGTAGGTTGCCGCATCAAAAATAAATACAATCTTTGGTTTTATTTTTAAATTCTTCAAAGCACCTACCAATGTATACTACTTAGGTAATCGACAAAATATATTACAGAAATAATGAGGTCATGCGTGTAGGACTGTACTAATAAAATTATATTTAATGGTTTTGGTCTTAAAATAATTCATGGTATATATTTCGAATGCATTGAGTATAATATTATAGTAACTTGTAACTACCTACCTACTATATAATAATATATACATAATCATATGTGAGCTAAAATGTAAAAACGTGTTCGAATTGGGTAGTTTAATATTATTACAATAACCTAATAGTAAAAGCATTCCAAAACTGGTATCTCATTTTTAGTTCTAGTTATTAAAAGGATTACAATATATATTTAATGAATAAATAATAATATATAGCTAACTACAACACGTCTTCACTCTTCAATGTGAAATGCGGTCGATAAATTCATAAAAGCTTTGACCAGTAAATAATTCGCTACTCGACGGTACCTATATTTTATAATATACCGTCTGAAGGATTCGACATAAGCATTATATTATTATACTCGCAATTCGTGCATTAAGGTATATTCATGGGATAATTTTGTCTCCCGCCTATATTATAATCCCACCCTTAAAAACTAAACATTTTGTCATTTTCTTCTATCCATCTCTACTGGTCTATATTTCACTGCATAGCACTACTGCACCAGTATCTCTTATCAAACAACGACCACATGGTAATATAATATTATGTAAAAGGGTAATAATGTGAATCCTACTTGTATCCATGGATAAATATTTTAACTATACGGTGTGCAGTATTATGACGAACCTCAGTTGTTACATTATTATGGTTTTATGATATTATGAAATTACAATGTCCAAGAGCGAGATTATATTTTCTAAAGATTTACCGCAAAATCATTATAATATATTACGTATTTACATAGATGTATATTGTATGATATATAACTAGAGAGAGAGAGAGAGGTCTAAGACAATGTAATTCGCAATGAACATGTTCGCAATCAAATCGCATACGTACCCTACATCACGGGTACCAATGTACCCGTCGGCGTCAATCAAATGACCGGAAGTTGTTTATTTGAACAGTTTGAAAATACCCATGTCGTCGTAGAACAATAATAATAGGTATGAAAAACGCTGCCGAGCACCATTCGCAGTTTTGACGGGCTTGCGAAAGCGTGTTCGTTCGAAGAAACATATTTTTTGGAACAGCACAACGCGTGTAAGTTGTATGCGTCGATCATATACTACGATATTATAATATAGGTCACACATCATTATTATAATGTGCAATATATAAATTGTGATAAATAGAAATAATAATAATAATAATAATAATAATAATGGAGAATCGTGTCAGACGATCGTAAAAAAAAAAATGCACCCTGCAGTTAAATTATTATTTTATATTGTGCTCTTTTACGCGTAGGTACGTTTCAACGGGTGTCTCTCTATATATATATATCACAATATAGTTAGGTACCAAATACATGTGTGAGTGTCTGTGTGTGTGTGCCCGCATAGCGTTTGTTCGTACTTTTTAATTAATAATAATATAATATAGCTGGCCGGTATGTCGTATATAGTCGGGCTGCAATAAACGTCGCGGAAACTTCGGGGCCAACCCTGCAAGCACGTTAATCGGGTCGTAAAAATTCCCTGAGCTCCGGTATTATTATCATTATTACTGTTATTATTATTATTATTATTATTATTATTATTATAACATAAACAAAAAATATGATATTATTATCACTTAAACGTCTTCGCACTTCACAGCAACCGAAAACGCCTGTGCAAATGCGAATTTGTCATAAGTGTGTAACGCGGAATCCAAGACCTCAAGATAGTCTGACCCCTCGACTGATCAAGAAGGAGGACAAGAGGCCAAGGCCCACCTAGAGTCTAGACTCTAGAGATACACCACACACGTTGACATGTATTGTACGGTATACCTATATAATTGCCAATTAAATTTTTTAAGGAATTTATAATGTTTTTATTTATTATATATTTTTACACTATTATGTTATATATTATGCAACCCGTAAATGATTGTTTAGCAAAAAAATGTAAAAAACACAAAAAACGCTGTAAATAGGCGGGTTTGCCTGTTAAAAACACGAATAATACAATAATAATATCCCCTTCGTGTTTAAACTAAGGGAATAAGGGACGTTTTCCGTTCTACCTATCACAAATG